AAAGCGGAACAAACAAACAAACTCACTTTCCGATTTATAATATTAGTAAGGATAAATGTGACACTACATAGGTACTGGTGTTTGCACGGTCGCGTCGCATTTTCCTATTTCAGTAGGAATTTGGAACACCTGGTATTTCCAGCCTCCTGTGCTCTTACAAACAACTTCAACAACGCTTTGCCTGATCCAGGAATCGAGTACAAGACCATTTGTTTCACAATCGCGGTTTTACCAATCGTCCGAAAATAAGAAAAAAGTTAAACCACTACAAACTAAACTTGTAACATCAACGCCTATATGTATAAAACTCGATACATGAACATACATCAAGTTACACATACAAAACTAGCTTATCATGGACCCGCTTTGAATGATCTTTGACCACATTCCACGGTCAGTTTATACTGGTTTTCATAGTTTGACGTATGTACCTACAACTAAGCTTTAATATTTAAGTTAATCGTTGGGTTCAATCAAGTTTTTTATCGTATATCAGTAGGTACGTGATGACGGAACGACCTTGACTGCAAACTCAAACTATGTCACGTTTGTGTACCGGATCTGACTTGATCATCATCATCTTCATAGCCTAGTCATGTCAACACGACCGCGGAGGTTTGACAGCACGCCATATTTACTTTTTTTTTGTTAATTAGTCAATAGAGAATTAAAAGAAGTGGTTTTTGCATGTTTGTTCATTTGTTTTTCGTGCATTCGAGTGTGTTCTTTAACTGTTTGGTGCTTGATTTTGACAAATAACAAAGTTCTATATAAATTGCAGTTAATTTTGTTAACAAAAATATGTTTGACAGATTCTGTAGATTTAGTAGATTTCTTGTCGGTCCAAAAGAGTTTAGCAGCACTGGATTTAGACTCAATTTAAGCAATCACGTGATCAAAACAATCATAAATCTATACATATAATAAAATTGTAGAAAAGTGCTGTCTGTACATTGAAAATAAAAATAAAAAAAATAGCAGGGGCTATTGTTATGTCGATATAGAACCCAAAAATGTAACTAACTTTTTTTTGTCTGTTTGTCTGTTCACGCTAATCTCAGAAACGGCTTATCCGAGTTGGATGCGGTTTTCACGAATATATTGTGGTATGCTTCAGTTATGCTTTAGTGTTTGTTTCATGTCAATCGGTTCATAAATAAAAAAGTTACGTCAAATTAAAGAATCACGTCGAACACTATCTATCTATCTATCTATACATATAATAAAATTGTAGAAAAGTGCTGTCTGTACATTGAAAATAAAAATAAAAAAATAGCAGGGGTTATTGTTATGTCGATGTCGAACCCAAAAATGTAACTAACTTTTTTTTGTCTGTTTGTCTGTTTGTCTGTTCACGCTAATCTCAGAAATGGCTTATAAATATATATATATATTTAACAGGGTGCGAAAAAGGTGATAGTGGTTTTATTCCTCAGATTCCTCTCATTCCAAAAAATTTTCCGTTTAATTTTAAACGAATTCAGTTTCCAGTGAGCCTATGTTTCGCCATGACAATTAATAAAGCTCAAGGTCAGACTCTAAAAGTTGTGGGTATAGATTTAAGTATCAGCTGTTTTTTGCACGGTCAATTGTATGTGGCTCTGTCCCGTGTTAGCAATCCCAGCAGCCTGTATGCTTTTTCACCGCCGATGGCCATACGTCTAATATTGTATATAGAGAAGCATTACAGTAAAGTAGGTTTTTTAGCTACCCAAAATGACTGTGATTATGATCCAAATCTAAAATAAAAATAAGTATATATTTAAAAAAAAACGCTGCTCATAGTCACTATTCTACGCGAACGAAGTCGTGGGCACAGCTAGTACATAATAAAAATTAAAAAAAACAATTGTCCAGAAAATTGAAAATGCATAATTGTTGGGTACAATTAACGTTGAAAACATTGGTTTTACTGTTACCAGATACCAAAATAATTAGAACAAATCTAAACAAGCGAAACAAACCTACATCACCATTTGCTTCATAGCTTTAACATCACCACACATTGAATGCCCGTCACAAGTCACAGATCACAATAGTAGGACCTTCAGCACTCAAGTGTTCTCTCCCATCGCGTAATATGTCCGTATCCAATGTTTGCAAACCTTCCCTTTCTACTAAACTCAAACGGACAACAATCCCACAAAAAAAGTTGAATTTCAGAGGTCCCAAAGTCCCAACCTCCAAAAAGTAACCTTTCTGCCTCAAAGGTCCTGTGTGAAAGCGATCTAAAAAGTTTAAATACTAAGGTTTTTATGAATAAGGATCGATTTTGCCCTGTCTTTATATTGGAGTAACATGGTGCTTGTACGTCTCTGAAAGATTAGGTAGAAATGTAGAGATAAAGTATATTTTTGTACTCGGTCAGGAACCAAATGACTTGAAATGACTATAACTATATCTTTCTACTGGCTTACAAGAATGACTGCATGGTTGGCGTGGTGACTGGGCAGATCTGGCTGCCACGCAACGTGTTTCGGGTCCGATTCCTGCACGGAACAACTCTTTATGTGATGATCACAGATTGTTGTTCCGAGTCTGAGTGTTATGTGTATGTGAAATTGTATGTTTGTAAACGCACACACGACACAGGAGAAAATCCTAGAGTGTGACAATGTTTAAAAAAAAATGACGGATTGAGTCTAAGATCTAAATGAATATCAGTATTTAACATGGAGCAACTGCCTTTTGCCCTCCACAACCCGATTAGGATACACAACCAATCACAGACTCCATTAATTACAAAAATCATACATTTTATTATTATTAATATTCGCTCGAATCAGCGATACAAGTTCAACTTACTTTACGATCAGACCAAAGACACACACTTAAATACTTAGACATTTAAATATTTAGTCCACACATGACAAACGACTTATTATCATGTCCCACTGATCTAGTCTAGGTATTTATAAACGATAAACGATGTGATCGTGTTATGTAAGTCAAGTCCGTGCGAGCAAGGATTACCGGTTCACTATCTGGATCAATAAAATTATTGCTAACGTTGCCAGGGCCGGACCGCGATTGTGCGACAAAGCGGCCCAAATATATACAATTTTCTCAGAAATCTTTCTTAGTTAAAAATAAGTTATTATTTTGAAAGAACTAAATTAAGAGTACCCTTAACCGACGAGCATTCATGAAAAGATAGATGACTGTTGATGAAGCGAAAGAGGTATGTAGGAATCGTAGTAATTGGCGTTCCCTAGTCTCTGCCTACCCCCATGGGAGATAGGATAGTGAAGTAGGTAATGACAAGGTAGTATGCAATGACAAGGTGACGTCTAATAAAGGATAAAGAAATATGCAAAAAGACATATTGCTCCTACACCTAAGACAACTAAGAGCACGACATACAAGTTTTGTTATGAAACTGATTTAAGTATATCTGTAAATAACGTTTGTAAAGCACCCATATCACATGAAACAACCCTATTATGGTTTATATTTTGCACAATTAGTAGTTTTAACTATATTTTTTTTCTGTTACACTTATAATATTATTCATGACTTAAAATCAGGGGCCCACTTCGTCTTCGGGACCTTGAGCTGCGGCCCAAGAAATCAACACAGATCCGGCTCTGGACGTGGCCCCGGCTGTCACCTAACACCTGCGAGCTAATTAATATCTTCATTAATAAAACTGTAACATGTGTCCCCATGCCTAATAATAACAAGTCGACGTGATACGTCTTTCATCTAGTTTTAATTAATTTTAATAGTTTTCCTTATTAAATGCTTTTTATAGGTATCCTGGAAACTACGTTCAAGCTCACCCCCCAACTACATGGGACTCATAACATAAATAGTGAAAAGTGGGTGTTACATTGTACAGTGGCACGGCCCTTAGCCGTAATATGCACCTCTGCCTACCCCTTCGGGGGTGAAAGTTATGTTATGTATGTACGTTCAAGCTTGTGTTCGGCTGTTTAGCGGTTGTGAGTGCGGTCGACAAGCACGAGGTCTCAAATAAGGCAAACCATGAATGAGTTTTAATAACTTTAATTCTTAGTTATAGTTATTATCACGGAGCTCGATCCCCTACATTCGATGAAAAGTAATCGAAACACAAAAGCGAACAATTCTTATTACCAAACACAAAAAGCTTGATTTACTTTTAAAAATATATGCACCATTATTGAAATAATGTAGAAATATACGGGGAAGTTAATAATTAAATTCTCTGTAGCACTTCATATTCACAGGAAAAATACATAATTCTTTTTATAAATGTGTCTGAATTTTCCGAAAAAGAGAAACATTGAGGTAAGTAGGTATTTACTATTCAAAACCACATTTTGACTTATAGTGGTTTCATATTATTGCTTTTTTAAAGAATTATTCCGTTTCGGTAATTACATTATGACATTATCAGTCCTTTCGTCTATTTCGAATTAAAATTACAGCAAAGATCTCAGACGGACGTTAAATCCGATACCTCAAATAGGGTGATCGCAACTTTACGGCGGTGACATAAATGGACAGTTAGGACCAAATTCATATAAAATTGATATTATGTAAGAAGCATAGAAGTAAGTAGGAAGATGGATCTCATGTCAATGAAATGAGAATATTGAATGATCATTGTGTAACGTCTCAATGGAAATCTCAAACAAGTTCGTTCTAACTAGAACACTAGGCTGAATATATTACCCACCTTCGTCTAGTCTACAATAAAACATTATTATGTAAGTAATTTTCTACATTTCGGCATGAATTATTGACATTTCTAGTAGGGTGTCCACCCGATCGAGAATTATCCAGACCTTTCCACGCTCTGAACTTTGGCGATAAGAAACTTAAGGAAAATTTAAAACTTTAAATAAAAGGGCACTCACAAAAAACGTTAAGATTAAATTTAAAGTAACGCGATACCGCCTTCAGGATCGTTGCCCCCGCTTAATTTTAACACTACCTAAACTTTTTTCAAAAGAGGTTCGTCTTCGCTTGCTGAAAAAAGAAACTCAAACACAACAACAAGAAAATCGACTTACCGGCGACGAGTATCAGGAGCGTAACCGCGAAGCAGACATGCGGCATGGAGCCGCGCGGGGGCGGCACCCTCCCCGCCATTGGCCGAGCGATAGGGGCGGTTTAGCTATAACAACACAGCCTTCACCGCTGAAACCTTCTTACTACACAACTCACTCCACTCACAAAAAAAAACTAAATCTTGACAATTATTTTGGCGCGTACTCTTGACTTTGACGTTTTGATTTTTTAAACGCGATGATACGTTCGCGCTCAGCCACGGCGCGCCACAGACTACACTTTCACTCGCGCTCTAAACGCTGATTGCGTCATTTGTTTACTTTCACTATAATCAGTCACATTCGAGATATTGTTTACGGTTTTCATTAAACTTACGAACTATTTATTGTCGGGATACAGTCTTGGTTCAGAATTGGCAGAGTGCTGGGTCGACATGGGAACTGAATTCTGTTGGGAACTGATAGTAGGGAAGGGTTAGAAAGGTCAATGAACTCTTCAATCACGAAAATCTAGCTTTTACGTATTTTCAATACAAATAGCCAAGAGCTAGAGCGATTATTAAAACTAGAAAACCGTTTTCAACAAACTGGTGCGTCCCGTTTATTCTGACATTTTCTCGAAAACACAAGTTTTTATTCGCGAGAGCTCTTCTTAGGTAACTGTGAAGGACGATTGTTGACTTGGAAACATTGCATAAGCGAAGCAAACGAGCAAAGGCAAAACTAGGCTAGAGATTAACTCTAAAGGGGTATTATTATCTTAAACCTTAAATTAGTAAACCCTATAGACCACGAACAATCGTGATCGTGACTGTTCAGCCGTTAAAATGTCATAAATGTAATGAACTCACCTGACGGCCACATATTCATACATTTTGATTCACTTGGCTCATTATCCAAAAGGTTAACGAGTTGATTAATATAACCACGATTACTATTAAAGCTAAAACTATTTGAGTTTGTCTATTATTATTACAACATTGATCTGGGGTCATTTTGAAAGTTTTTTTTTGTTCGTTGCAAAAAACACAATCACGTAATTCTATCTTTTATAGCAGAATATCTTTTTAATTACTGGAAGTTAATGAACATTTTATGACAACTTAGATATGTAATGTGCAGGATGATTGCGAAAGTAATCTGAATGAACAATAAACTCGTCCATTAAAGTAAAGCTTCGTTTACAATCGCTGGACTAGCAAGGCCATGCATTACAAACAAGCATTGTTCTTTGGCACAATATTATAAAGATACAATAAATAAAGCAATCATATGCATTCCTGATTATAATCCCTACTAATATTACCAATGCGAAAGTAAGTTTGTCTGTTTGTTACCTCTTTACGCTTTATTTCATCTTCTTTTCACCATGGGCAAAGCCGCAAAAGCACTAGCTTTATAGGTACTAATATGCGTGGGTAAACGATGTCAGATACATGCATATGAATTATCTATAACTACTTTGTACTCCTGGCTTCACTCATATAGGCTAAGGAAAACAAAGTAAGCAGTCTATGTCACTCTCCAGACAAAAAACTGTTTTTCACATTTACAATTGAAATTTAAACTGTAGGTACTTTAAAGAAATATGCAAAGCGATTGTGTTATTTTAGCAACACATACATGCTGAACGATTATCGAGAATTTTCTTACAAATATAGACAACTCGACAAACCGTCATTGACCCGTTTCCAACAAAGCTTAGACTTGGAAAGCACAGATAAAATATAGAATTGATTGACAAATTATTCATACAGGATTTAACAAGCACAAAATCTAAATAGAAGATACTAGTTACAATGTGGAGTTATTAATGAAAACCGAGGGAGAGATGCATCGCAGCACACAGCGAGGAAATTAATGTGATTCAACTACGTCTGTGTGTCGGGCTGTTTCATAAGTCGCTGCTGCCAACAGTTCAAACTTACACAAGATACCGACCATGTAATAATTATTAGGTAGGTATTGTGAGAAATGGGTAATAACGTTGTACAATCAGTTTTTGTTTAATAACCGTTTTTAACAACTGTTGTTGTTTTGGTAATGTTATTTCCGTAGGTTGTCTATCTTGGTTTTGCTGGATTTAATCAATAATTTAATAGTAACAATAAACTAAATAAATTATTGTTCTTATTAAATTATTCATTAATTCATTTTTTCGTCTAGACATTCTAAAATGGACTTTGTAGAGAAATTCTGTTTTTAAAATAAGCTTTAGATTATTTTTTAAAAAGATTTAGATTTATACACATAATAAGTGCCTAAATATAATTGAATATCAGCAATAATAGATCCATGTGTATGAATTTTAAGCATCTTATAAATCATCAATAAAATACAGATAAGCAGAGTGGCAATATAGCATGTTAAATTAGGTAAAGTAGTGCGAGGACATCTAAAGTCCATATTAGGTAATAAAGTACTAAACTTTTTTCATTATTGGTTGTATAACACAATTCCACTTTCTTGCAAAAAAAAAAAACAATATTACTCAACGAAAAAAAAAATAAGCACAGACATGGAATATCTAATGTCAATCTGGTTCCGAATTCAAATAAGTTTCCCGCGTGTTGTGTCGTGTCGTGTTGTGTCCGCGTAAGGAATTTACTTTGATGATCAAATAATATAGTTATAGATTTCAGACAGGTCAGATTGATTGTGGTCTCGATCACAAAACGAAGAAAAATTTTCAATTTTTTTTTTTACAAAACCTTTATATTGTGCTATGGGTTTTCCAAATTGTATTGTACTACGGATATTCCCGGAGACAGTTAAAAGGAAACAATTTATTTATTTTTATCGTCTTTGACCACGCGGATAAATTAATTGCCTCGATTAAACACAAACAACTTTTACTAAAGCGCTGATAAATATTTTTAAACCCCGCACGACATCACTGTTACCGTTATATGTTTTACATAATATAATTAGTTACAGATAGGTATCATCAAGATTATCATAGCCTAAGGACCAGAGGCGTAGCTAGCGCCGTATCAATTATACAGGGCCCCCGGAACACGGCGGCCCCCAACGTGCGCAATCAAAAATTTATAAAAACTTCTCAATCTTTATTTTATTTCATTAATAAATTAATTGAAATCACGGGTTACTCATGTGAATATACTTACAAAAGCTCAACTAGTTTCGAACCACAGAGGGGCTATTCATCATGAGCAGCGTGAGTAGCGCGCAATTCACTGAGCTGCGCGACGTCACCACGACCGCGCGTGTGTAACCCGTGATTTTAATTAATTTAGTATGTCTCACGATAGTTATTATTATTTCATTAGTCTCTAAAGTCATAATAAACCATTTCTTACCCACATTGGAGTTGCGTGCGTGCGTATAAAGGTTGGCAGAAAGTTTAAGAAGACTAAAGTAATCATACTCCGATAATTTGGACAAAGAAAGTGGCGTGGAAAGGTGAAAATAATGTGCACCTCTGCCGGTAGGTACCTTAGGATGCCCTAAACCACCTAGAAGGCATGATGTTTGTTATGTAAATGTATATAATAATCAAAAGTGCTAAAAATCTAAAATACTATTTTTTGTGACGATACTTCTATAGAATATATGTCAAAACTTGGATCAATACACAGACATTTGATTAAAATAAGACCGATTATTATTTATTTATTGATTTCAGCCGTGACGTATATCCTGGGCCCACGCCACGGCATTTTTTTTTTATCGCAGCGTAAATGTGTATCGACGATCGAATGCAACAACTTTAATGTCTTTTATAAGAATTTAAACTTAACGTAATATTTTATTTATTCTCAATACTACATTTGACCTTTGGACTGTGATCAGGTGATTGTATTTTTATAAAAACTTTCTCCGAATTATTAAAATGATTAAAATATACTATGACCAGAATGTCTGTCATTTGTCTACAGATTAAAGATGACGTAAATAATGTTCTAGTGTTGCCCACTTGGTAAAATTAAAACTAATAACTTAAATTTCGATGTGTGGGTGTAGTGTAACTGTAAATACAATGTCTTCCTACGCCTTTGGCGAATAATAGGGCGTTATATTAAAATTTGGTTCCATACAATGTTTTCATAACAAAATAATTTTCAGAATTAAATTTAATATAGAGGTAAATATGTCGATGTCTGTCTTGTTGATTGTTTAGGTGTAGACTTGAAATAAGAGGTCATGGGTTGAGTTTAGGACTCTGCCAAATAATTATCGATATTTTAGAAAATATAAATATTACGGGTTCTAAGATCATGCCTTGTGTACGACAACAAGCTCTCATTGTTTATTTGAACCTAAAACTATTAGCCAGAGCCTGAAAATGTAACAGGCTTGTCCATTGTTATAATTCGACGAACTCGTATCTAACTATTGGGCAGTGGGTTAACGTTATAATTTCAAAGACATTATTATACTAGACAATGATACAAATCAGACAATGATTTCTCTAAACCACAAAAGCTTTATGAACCTTTCATTTGTTAATACTAAAAACGTTGTTAAGTTTTCATATTTAAATCTGTTTATATGGCAATAGGCTCGCCCCCTATTACATGGGTTTCATAACATAAATAGTGAAAAGTGGGTGTTACATTCTACAGTGGCATTAAGTGCCGCAATGTGCACCTCTGCCTACCCCTTTGGGAGTAAAATGTTATGTTATTTAAAACTGTATTATAGAATTCAAGTCGTGGTGGCCCGGAGGTTAAGACGCCCGCTTCTCATGCATAGAGCGCGGGCTCAAAACCCACCAAAGGCAAGTACGAATGAGACGTTTTTTGACTAATATGTTCTTTCTAAGATTATTTAGACATCACTGACAAACGGAAAGGATAACTGGCCTTATTAGGACTGGACAATTGCTAATTGTAAGTTTGAAATCACCAACCCGCATTGAACAAGCGTGGTGATGAATGCTCAAACCTTCTCCGTGTGAGAAGAGTCTTTGCTCAGCAGTGGCCACTTATAGGCTGTTGGTGTACAGAGTAAGGGTAGATGCCTAAGTTCTATTTTAATGTCCGTCTAGTGGATTATTTTAAATCAATAAACACGTATTTTTTATTTTCTTACAGAAACGAATACTTTCGACGATATATTGATTTGAATTTTTAATTTTTTAATTTCTATGATAAAGAAATAAATAACTTAATAATATAATACATACATACCCTGCCATCATCCCAATTCAAGTTACCTATTAAGCCCATATTATTGAGCACTTAATCCAATGTGATATGATCACAATTAATTTCTTTGTTTTAACTAAAAGTCCGATTTCACAATAAGTATAGTACATTGCCCTGAGCCAGCATTCACTCGTTAACAAAGATGTTTCAAAGGAGACAGTGACAGCCTTGAGCACTACTTATAATACTTATGTGCTGACTACATAACTACTAAATTGTAAGTAGGTAAGTATTTATTTCATGTTTGTGATCATTGGGGTATTTGTAATAGGATTAAATAATAATTTTTCCTGAAAATACAGAATTGCATATATATATTTCTGTATGCATTTAGGTAATGTTCGTTGTTATATGGAATTTTTTAAGAGGACAAGATTTAATATCTATTCCGAAACCTGTTCCAAAAATCGATGGGATTTTAATTTTGTCTGCTTTTTTTTCAAATTGGACTTCAGTTAATAAATGACTTGACTTTGACGGGTCAAAAATTCAATTATGCTTATTTTTTCTTTTAATTTTTCGGAAATTCTGCTGTGTGAGTTTTTGTGTCAATTAGCACCTTAATTATCGCTATTTCTCTTTTTGTTAAATTTCTCTATTATATCTTCAACTTTATCATATTGGTTAAAAGTCGAAAATCCAATGAATAAATTTGACAGATTGGAGTGAGTTTATTTGTTGGTCACTGTACATAATAATATATATGTCATTAAGAGAATAGATAAAAGTGATTATTTCAGAATATTTTATGTATCTCAAGAAAATAAGAAAACGTTTTTTTCACAGAAGTAACAAAATTATAAATACTTACTTACGTACGAGTTGCCTGTGTACCGAAATAAGTTTTAAATAACAATATCTCCAGTACTATTGACATACACTTACATATATTATTATTATCTTATATACTATTATATAAAGCTGAAAAGTTTGTTTGTCTGAACGCGCTAATCTCAGGAACTACAGGTACGGTTTGAATAATCCATTTTGTATTGGATACTGCGAGGAAGGCTATAGACTACATAACATCGCGCTGCGGTTAAAAGCAGCAAAGCAGAGCGGATAAAACCGCGCGAAAGACAAAAGTTCTATCTATGTAATTTCATATAAGATATTAAATTTGTATGGGAAACTTTATTGTATTAGTATATAGGTATGTATAAGTGTTAAGTTTTAATTTAATTATAATTAGGTAATAAGTAAGTACTAAAAGATGTGGTAAGACTGATGGCTACACTATAGTATTGGAATGTATCTGTAATGTTAGTTGTTAGTGCATTAAATAAATAAATAAATAAATCTTATTAAAACCAACAATATAGTGAGTAAATGATGCTGCGAACTCTATAAGCGCCGCTCACTTTTTGATGATCATCTTCAAGGATAATGAGTAATGACGGCGCACAGTCGACCATACCGTGAGTAATTAGTAAACAAACTCCTGGGTAATTGTTTAATTAAACAATTGAGTGGGTGCACAGATACCATATACTTAGGTATACTTAGTTATGATAGTCATTGATTGAATTGGTTACAACTTCATATCTTATGGAGGGCAAAGATGTAAACTTAATCAAGCTATCCGAATTGGGTACTTTCCTTAATCAAAAATAAATTATTTCGACTGTCAAGACAATAAAATTTAAAAAAACAATCACTATCATTAATTGATTTTATGACCAACTTAATTTTAGTATTCTTCCAGCAATTTTTAAAAAAATAAGTATGCTGTTTGATGCTAAAAAAACGTCACAATTGAAATTCACAATCTCGTACAAAATCCATAGAAGAAAACTGTCGTTTTTGACAGTTCGGCGTTTGCAGACACCCGACCAACTAGCCAGTCATATTAAATGTCAGGAATAATATATAAAATAACAAACATAGAATGAATTTAAGTATCGCTATAAATAGAGAAAACTTCAACAAGGCTATCAGAGAGCCAATAACATCAAAGTTATTAATAAAATTCACAAAAAAAGAAACTAAAATATTAGTAGGAATTTTGACGTATCAGAAATTATAGTCGTTTTTTGTTTTATTTTAACGGTCGCACCATATTCGGAATTCAATTGCATGAAAGTATAATTACTTATTTATTGTCTTCGAATAATCAGTGTATAACATTTTAGTCCGTCTAAAAACGCATACTTATATATTTCCAAAAAGATTTTACCTATATTTAAATTAACTAGGTATATCTAAATTTATGTGGGGTTTTCTCATCTTATTTTTATACAAAAAATTTTGCTCCGTATAGACTAGCAAATAACGAGGAAAATTCAACAACATTAATTAAATAAAAAATGTAAGATATTTTTGTTCCGAAATGTCTCAAATACGAACAGCGCTTGTAAAAGGTTTGCGTCCAAATTCTTACTGCAAACCGCCATATTGGCGACAAATGCTACTATCGAAAGTGTAAAACTAAAGTATTTTTAATTCAAAGAAAATGCATTAATAAAAAATCTTTGTTAACGTATAAGTAATTTTTTCTATCACAAAATAGTGTATGTAAATTGTGATTTCTGAAAATGATTGATCGTAATATTTTTTTTACAGTTTTATTGTTATTTTCAATTGATATAAAATGCTGTAAACATTTACAAATATTATGAAATCCATTTACTAACAAAAATCGTATTTTTTATATAATTGATTATGAATGTAGCTTTCATTCAAACGCCTTATTATGGAATATTATAAACATATAAAATATTTTAAAATTGCAAGTCATAAAATGTTAATGATTTACATAAATTAAATATGTAATAAAAATAATCTATTTAATAAAATGCTACATAATTACTTGTATTCAAGAACGAACAAAGTTACCAACAAAATCACATAAGTAGTAGAAAACTTTTTTATGTCACAGCACTGGCACGAAATAAACTTGTAATCTATAAAATCCAAATTCAAAAATCGAACATGCCACCGCACGAAAAAAATCAATTCTTTTACAGGCAATTTTGTGGAATGTACGAGTCTCAGCGATGAATTTTATTCGAAATTTAAATCCAGAACGTTAACACCAGTTTATTATTAACGGCTTTTTGTTAATTTTAAAGGTTTTTAGTGTGTATTAGTGGTTGTATGGTTACTTTGTGTTGGTGGTTGTCGTGTGGAGCGCAATACGCGCTTGCCGCGGCGCGGCCGGGTTCGTACTAAGCACTTTTGGCGGTGGAAGCGCTTTGAGGGAGATTTACCAGCTTTTTTGGGAGATTAAAAGTTTTTAGATGCACTTCGTCTACGTTTAGGGGTATATTTTAGTGTTGCAGTATTGAGATGCTCAACTATTGGGATTTATGGATAATTTGTGTTTTAGAATGAGTTCAGTATCAGGTGAGTTGACTTTACTTCTTTTGTTCGAAAAGTATGTAAAATGTTTGTCAATGTAATTAAAAAAGAAGATTAATTGTTAATGTCTTCATCTAATCATTTTAAGAAGCATCTTATGCAAACACAAGTTCTATAACACAATAAATAATATGTACTTATTACTTTAAATATAATTACAATCTTAAGGTTTAAAAGTACTCCTAGACTATTAAACCACAACTATAATAAAAAATAGTTATAAGGACAATTTTCCATAACAAAAAACTAAACCAAGAACTTAAAATTTCAAACTTCCACTTGTGTTCTGGCAACCCACCCTACTACGCCGCCCTGCGTAGCCGTAGACCCCGCCCGCTACGCCGCTACGTCGCTACGATGCTACCGCGCTACGCGTCTACGCCATACGTATTATTATACACGTAGCGTATTATACGGTTTTTGTAATAATAATCGCGCTTGGCGGGAAGGGGTGGGCAGAGACCTCGCTGTCTTTATCAATTAACTGCTGTATAATGAAAAGTTTCCGTGATCGTTTGGGCGACGTTGTAGGGACCGTGTGTATGGGGCTTATAGACGCGATTTCGTTACAAATGTATGTACAGATAAGGTGAGTGAAATAGTTACAATTACAAGTTGAATACAATTAGACCAGGAAGGCACTTTTGAAGGTCAACAAAAAATTACAAGTGAAGCTATTTGCTCATTCCAAGGTGTAGATAAATAGAAGAACGAGCAAGAAACTCCATAGGTTAAGTATATTTATTATTTATTTGGCAAAACATAGTTTTGTATAAAGTAGACTCACAGTTTCACAGAAATATATCCCTTAAAGCAAAGAAAGACTGCCTCGTTGGTCGAGTGGTCGCAATTGTGACTACCGGGCAAGGGGTCTCGGGTTCGATTCCCGGGTCGGGCAAAGCATTACTGGGCTTTTTAAAAAAAATCCCAGTAGTAGCACGGAGCCTGGAATTGTGCCCGGTATATGGCAATAGGCTCACCCCCTATTACATAGGACCCATAACATAAATAGTGAAAAGTGGGTGTAACGTTGTACAGTAGCATTAAGTGCCGTAATGTACACGTCTGCCTACCCCTTCAGGGATAAGAGGCGTGATGCCACTTCATACCCCTGTACATAATAACAGCCACTTTTCACTATTTATGTTATGAATCTTATGTAATAGGGAGTGAACGTTTTGCCATTATACCGGGCACTTGCGACCACTCGGTCAACGAGACACAGACAGTCAGTAATATTATTCTAATTTAGTTAAACAATACCTACAACTTAAAAGAAGTCGGATAATCTAAGCAAGAATTTCACTTAAAGCGATATTTTTAACCACATAACAATATTACGTGGGATTAGATACTATAAATACCAAAATTAGGTGGGTGGACTATGTAGTAGCAGCTAAATTAAATCTACACCTACCCACGGATTCTCAGAAATACAGGATTAGTGTTATTTATGTATCGAGAGAGAAAAATGAGGGAAATACTAGGAAAGCGACTAAACAATTATAAGATTTGTGTACTTATTTGTATATCGTTCAACTTGGTAAATTATTGTTATTTTTCTATGAAGCATTCGTTGAATGGCCGTGAGAATGATAAATCACATACATACATATACATAACATCACGCCTTTTATCCGCGAAGGGGTAGGCAGAGGTGCACATTATACCACTGTAGAATGTAACACCCACTTTTCACTATTTATGTTATGAATCCCATGTAATAGGGGGTGAGCCTATTGCCATATACTGAGCACAATTCCACTCCGTGCTACTACTGAGAGTATTAAAACCCAGTAATATTTTGCCCGACCCGGGAATCGAACCCGAGACCTCTTGCCCGGCAGTCGCACTTGCGACCACTCGGCCAACGACGCAGTGATAAATCACACTTAATATTTTTTTGACGACTTCAAAAAAGGAGGTGGTACTATGTTCGAATGATTGTTTTTCCACGATATTATGTAGATTTAACAGTAGCAAAGACAATTATTACAGCTAATGGTAAAGTTTTTCATAACTAGTTACGAAGTGAATTGTAGACAACAAAAAGAATAAATTATTATGTTTTCGGCTTACTCACGTAATGATTTGACGAGGAACTCGACTAGTTTCAAGCCATGCTAGAGGCTCATATTCATGAGCAGTATTTCATAATAATTTATTTAGTATGTCTCACGAAAATTACAATACAAATAACAAAAGGAATATAAAGATAATAGAAAATCCAATTTTGCTTGCTTGGCATTGCTAAAAATTAACGTTTCAAGATATAAAATTCTACGGATATAGGAAACAGGAAATCAATATGAGAAATACCTATTAGTTCTACAATTGAATAACGTCACTATTTGAGTTTGTAGCCACGTTTTTTTACAGAGTTATAACACAAAAGTAATTTTACGAGAGTTAGAATAATGTTATTATGTTTATCAGAACCCTTGTTAATCACTATTGTAATTAAGTTCCGAGGTACAAAAATATATTGTACCTCTAGTAGTGGACAGGCGACAACGAACAAGACAGATTATAGACACGGCGGACACGAGGTGCAGGCCGCATTGTTCCAGCACCGGGCTCTAAATGAGGTTACATCAATTCGAGTGACAGGGTTAGACATCTATGGCGCCTATAAGTAGTAGACTGATAGTCGTGGTCGTAGCTGCATTTACTCGTGTAGTACTGGATTTTTTTATAATAAGTATCTGTCAAAGAGTTATTAAGTATTTTTTGAAACTCATGTACTGGTTACGGAGTCTAGATTGAATTTCGGTTAATGTAATTAACGAAGACATGTATTTCATTATGTTTATCTCCTGCTACCACGTTGGCGGATATCTGTACCTTAGTCATAATATAAAGGCATAAAGAATAATATCTTGCAAAAATTAACTCAGTAAGTGAGTGAGCATAGGCGAAAAATAATTATAATAAGTTTCTTCTATGGAGGTACTATTAAATTATCTATACCTAGGTAGGTAGTAAATTATAGAAAATTTATTGTAAAAACTAAATCCAGTCTATTTTTCCTGAGATTAAAAATAAGTATTACTTACATAGAGCCGTATCTTTTTCCGAATTACATATATGTACTTTCCAAGATTATTTAGACACTAGGTACTACTGACAAACGGTGAAGGAAAACATCGTGAGGAAATTTAGACTTATAATTTCTAATTACTTATAATTTAAAATAGCCAATCCGCATTGAGCAAGCGTCACGACGCTTGGAACATGGAGAAGGTTTAAAAAGCATTAATCACCATTAATGCTCAAACCTCATTCTCATTCTCCAAGTGAGAAGAGGCTTTACTCATCAGTGGACATTATAGGCTTTTGATAGAACCTAACGGGTAGTAACCGGGGCTCCGACTCGACGTGCAGGAGAAGGAACGGGGTGGTTTTTAGTCAGTAAGAGTCTGACACTCCCTCCCGCCTCATCCAGGCAGGAGCAGTCATTCGATGATTTTCCCCCCTTAAAAAAAAATAGGCTTTTATATAATGTGACATAAAGACGTGTTGATTTTTGTAATTATTCTCTAAATTTTTTAAATAAATTCTCAAAACACTTTGTTTTTTTTTTAGTAAAAAAGAAAAATATCTAAAACCTCTGTGTGGATTTTAAATCAACGTGTTAAGGAGGATTTTTTTAAGCATTTGTTTTGTTTTTTTAAAAAGCAATCACCCAGATATCCTACATACCTAACAAGTGACGGCGACGCCACACAAGAATAGTTTAAAAATTTTTCATCTATTTCCCAAAACTCAATCAAATTACAGAAAAACCAGAAAATATAGTGCAAAGTGATCGTCGTCTCAATTTAACATGCATTAAGGTAATCGACGTCCATCCCCTGCGTTCCAAGGGGAGACGTAAATATTATCCCCTGGGGTAGCACCCCTAAGCCCCCAAGCCCCATAGCTCGAGGGGAAATCGTGGCGTTATTGTATTCTGCTGAGTTGGGAGTTACGCACCATAGTGAAAAGCGTGGATTAATTTGTTTAGACAAATTATTCGATATTAACGTTTTGATGAAATATTATTTTGAGATAGGTTAGGTTATTTTGTTTGTATTTGTAATTTTAAAGTTAAAGATTAGCTTAGGTTACTTAAGCACTTATTACGATTGTCACTCTGAAGTACTAAGTAACTAACCTGTGACTAAATAACGGTTGAAAATCCATATTACCTTGAAATGTTAAGGAAACATTAAGTATGGTCAAATCTTCAAAAATGCCAAAATTAAATCTGATTTAAAATATTTTTACGGTGCAATAATGCAAAAGCACTATTCACTACAGATAACACATTCCACAGATTCAAAAACATTTAAAATTGGCGCGAAATTCTAGTGCGGGGCAAGCAAAACAAAAACGTTTCTACTTCCCTCGATAATCGATACAGAGTATTTTAACAAAATCTCACAATTCCCTCGCTATGTTGTCAGGATAAAATACAAGAGGGGTTTTACTCTAAAATGGCATTAGCAACCCTCGAACGTCATTCTTAAGTGGCGAAAACTAAACCTCGGCTCACAGGGTGCTAGTAAAATTCATTTGATTTGCCGTGACGAATGCTGAGAGCCGATTCACTTAGGAGGGCTTCAAGGCATCGTGTTGCTGAATAGAGGGTGGTTAAGTACGTAATACTTATATAACAGTTATAATGTATCACTTAATAACTGGTGGTATAGTTTTAGGAATGAACCTATTGCTTTTGCTTGCATGTTTCAGTGTAATTATACCTACGTGACATTTTTTTAAGTATCAGTCTTGTAACATTGATGTTAAAAAAACAGAGGTTTATTGGCGCATGGGTGAAACTATTATCTAGGTACATAAATATAAAGACTGCATCATTGACCCCGTCATTGGCCGAGTGGCCGCAAGTGCGACTGCCGGGCAAGAGGTCTCGAGTTCGATTCCCCAAGTTTTACTGGGTTTTTAAAAACAATCTCAGTAACA